TTCTGCATGGAGCACTGGGTGTTATACGCAAACAATGAATCATGGAACACTACATCAAAAACTAATAATGTAATGTATGGTGATTAACATGACAATAAAAAATTAAAAAAAAAAAAAAGCCCTAGTGAAGAGTGGAGTTGAGGGAGGTGGGCCCCTGGCTGGCTGGTGGGCGCCCTCCTGCCTCCCAGCTCCTGGCCCTTATCAACCTAAAAGCGTTGGTTTGAAAGATCCAAACCTGTGGTCTTTTTCCATAAATGTGGTCACTTCATATGCATTATTCTATCACTTAGCTTTCTATCATAGATTTTGAAAACTGTCCCAAGTATGCACAAATTTGCATTTGAAAAATCCCGTGTGCTCAAAGAAAATTATGCTGAGCATTAAAACATACACATCCTTTGGCCTAGCATGTGTAGAAAAGTATGCTATTTGCCATGTTTTAACAATTTGTTTACTGTGGGTTTTTTTCCCCCACTTCGATACACTTTTAACTCCATTGTTTAAGACTAAAAACTTGTACCTACTTTTAATTTAGTTTGGCATAAGGACAAGTAAGCAATCTTATTTTTTCAGATTGGTACCCAAATCAATCTTCACTGTTTAGTGAATAATTTGCCATTTCCCCACGGATGTGAGATGAGAAGTAGCTTGTCCCCAATCCAAATACACAGGCATGAAGCACTTGTCTGGACTCTGTTCTGCAGTGGCCCCAGCTTTTAGATATACTACAGAGTAACACTTAATTCTCTTTTCCTTTCTTAGGTCTGTTTTCATACATCAACTGTGGAAGCAGTAAGATGAAACCAGAAGGGAGAAAATATTTTTTATTAGGACTGCGTATTTAGGCACCTTTACAGTGTTGTCTTTCTAGCCAAGATCATCTTTCACGATTAATAGGAATGTTTGGAAATGTAGTGTTTTTCAACGCCTACACGCATGTCATTCCTTACTTTTGAAGGCAGTGCTAGAAAGGTCACAGACTGCCCCAGAACTTGAGAATCAGGTGGGATCTAGGGATCATCTGGTCCAATGTTTTCAGTTTACAAATGAACAAGTTTAGGCGCAGAGAAGGGAGGTGAGATGGCCCAAGTCACCCAGCAATTTGACCCAGAAGTGCCCGCCCCTTCCCTGGGGCTTCTCTTCCCCCACCGGGTGATCCAGCAATCCCGGGTCCTGAACGGTCTCCCCCTGAGGCTGCAGGCTGGGGAGAAGCCACTCGGGTCGCACAGCGTTCCATTCCGCCCCCCCACCACCACCACACAAAGTCAGTCACCCACAGTGACGAGAAAGACATTTAATCACTTCTTGGTCTTATCTCTTAAAGCGCTCAAGTATTTTCACAAGTGCAAAGGGAGCGATTGCTCTCAGCCAACATTTACCAGTAATTCCAACACACGCAAAAAAACTACAAATCACCGTGCTTTATACTTACTTTTAATTGCTGCACTGGAAAAAAAAAAAAGGTGAAAACCATGACAGGTTAGGTTACAGTGACGTCACCTCTGCCTTTAAATTAACCTTTGCTCTTGGGGGCAGAAGGGGGAGAGACAGACAGGAACACATCAAAGCAGGAGAGCAAAACGGGGGCCGAGACACCGGGGTCCGGCTGACCCGGCTCCGAAAACCCGGAGGCGGCGGCGCGCTGGCCGGTAAACACGGACAGGCAACAGTTAAAGACACAGTAAAAAGGGGGGGAAAAAAACCAAAAAACAGAACTCCCACAATTCCATTCTTAAAATCAAGCACGACAACGGACAGCGAATCCAAGGTTCACGTGGGTGCACCCGTCCGCCGCGGGGGCGACCGCACGGCGGGGCGCGCGCTCCGGCCCGGGGGGGGCCCCTGCTCTGCACAGACCTGCGCCCGCCAACGCGGGGTGCTCCGCGGGGAGGGGGTCCGCGGGGAGGGGGCGGCCCACAACCGCAGCCTCCCGACAGACAGCAGGAGCCGCGGGGCGGGTCTGTGTGCCTTCGAGGCTCTGCCTCCGGAATGCTCTGCACTCGGGCTGGGGTGGGTGGTGGGTTTGAGTTACGCTCCACACGGTGTTTAAGTGCTTGCTTTATTTTTCATGTGCAAACTGTCACTGTCTAAAGCTTTCAGAAGGACGTGTACAGAGAGGAACACCCTGCAGAGAGCCGAGGGTACTCGCGTAAGGCCCCTCCCTCCTGAGCGGGGCGGGGGCGTGGGGGCGCAGGACAGAAATATTTAGAGAAACGACGTGTTCTGCCGCGGTTAAGCTCAAGTCCCTGATTCGGTCCGAACAGAGGAGGGGGCTCCTCAGTAGGTGATTGTCCACTCTTTGACAGAGGCGTCGTGGGAGGTCGTGATCAGCGTGTGCTCGTCCAGCCAGGCCAGGCTGCTCACGTGATGGAGCCGGTGTGCATCTGGGGAGAAAGAGGGCGTTCTGAAGGGAAGCCCCTCTGCTCCCCCAACACCTCACGCGACGGAGTAGGGGACAGGCTGTGCCAACAGCGACAACAGAACCTGACCCCGTCCCTCTGCACCGAAGGGGGAGCGTCTGGAACGTGGAAGGTGGCTGCAGGCAATCTCAAGCCGGCATCCCTGCGGTCGGTCCCTCCCAGACACGGGGGCTGTCCTGACAACCAACAATGTCCCCTGGGAGTCAGAACTGCTCCTCCCCCAAGGGGGTAAAAGTCTGTTCCTTTTTATGCATAAAGCAACAATACAGACAATACACAAACAGCTTCCTGGTGTATCTGCAGTAACAAAATGGGCGGGGGCAGTGAATAAAGGCGGAGAAACCTCTCTAAGAGGTGGACTGGTGACCAGAATACCCTGAGAAACACCCACAGGGCCCCGGGCCCCCCCTCTGTGAGAGGTGCACCAGGGGTGACTGCAGTCCTCCCCAGTTTCCTGCCTCTACTCTACGGACTGGGTGGGTCCTAGTACAAACCTCACAGAGCAGGGGACCCAGGTGAATCTGTTCTGGGCCACCTCCCACTGGGCCCTCCCATCTGGCTGGGGGGTGACACCAGAACAGGAGAATTTCAGATCTATCCCGGACAGACACGGTCCCTCCTAGGGCCATGAGGCATGTGTGACTACAGAGCCCTTGAAGCGAGCTATTCCCACATGTAGAAAAAGTATGTAGGGACTAAATAAAACAATTAACAATAATTTCATCTGTTTTTTGTTTTTTTAAACGAGGCTGCTAGAAACACAGAAGTCCACAGGAGGCTCCATTACACTCCTACTGGACGCTGCCCATCGTGGAGAGAACCTGATCAGCAGTTTAATTTAGGGGGTGGGGCGGAGGATGGGAAAGTGCTGTGGTCTGAATGTTTGTGTCTGCCCCTCAAAATTGTACACCAAAAATCTCATGCCCAAGGCCGTGGTATCAGGAGGTAGGGCCTTGGAAGAGCTGCGAGCACGAATGGGATCAGTGGCTTATTAAAGAGGCCCCGCAGAGTGGGGCCCAGTGAGAAGTCTCTGGCCCAGAAGAGCTCCCCAACGCCCCAGCCATGCCACCCCCTATCTGGGACTTCAGCCTCCCGAACTGTGAGCAATAAGTCTGTGGTTTATAAGCTGCCCAGTCTGCGGTACTTGTTATGGAAACCCGACGGGCTGAGAAAGATGTCAAGAGGGACCCGGTGTGCTAAGGCGCGTGCCCGGTGAATGGAGACCACCTGCTCTCCCGCGGGGAATATGTGCATCGTCGATCCCTCTGCGTGTCTAGCGGGGGCCGGCAGAATGAGAGCCATGCCTCTCGGGGGTGACTTCCCCAGAAGCACAGATGGGACACTCGGGCTTGGGGAGAGCCTCTCTGGGGCCGCCTGGGGAGCCGAGGCGGGATCGAGAGTCACCTTGGATCTTGACCCTGGTCTCAGGGTCACTTAGGGTCCAGACGTACACCATCATGTCCATGCCACCGGAGGCAAAGTGCTCGTTGTCTGGTGACCAGGCCAGGCAGACGATCTTCGCGTGGTGGCCGTAAAAAACGTTGTTCTCCTAGTTGCAGGTTGAAAACAGAGGTGGTAGGTCAGGGTTCAGGCCAGAGGGGTGCGCGTCATCTCACGTGCCCCCAGCGACCGCCGCGAGGGCCGACGCTGATGCAGCACGCTCTGCCAGGCACCGCGCACGCCTCACGGAGGGCTCACGGGAACCCAGGTGCCCACCGCTCTGTGATGAGGCCCAGGAGGGTACGGCCCCGCACGGCCCAGCGTCGGGCAGCAACCACTGTGCCCCCGGGGCCCCGAACGGCCTCCGTCCCCCCTGAGGCGCTAGGTGTGTGCGCTCTCCCTCATGGAGCCTCGGCCCAGCCAGGGCTCAGCGCAACGCAGACACGAAGGCTCGAGGAGGCCCCGCCTCGGGCAGGTGGTGCTCAGGGAAGGTTCAGGCAGCAGAGGGAGGCCGCCGGCCCCTCCCCACACACACCTGCCCACTACTCACTACTCCGCGGCCTGGGGCGGGGGGCTGGAAGGAGCCTGCAAGCTGGAGGACTAGCACTTTCCTGCCACCGTAGGAATGCTTTTTCTTCAGGGCAATTCCATTTTCTTAATCCCTAAGAAAAGGTCGACTTGACGATGATTTTCCTTTTCAAGTTTGCCTGTTCTGTGCTGTGTTGATCCCACCCTGTGGACCGCCTACTTAGCATGCTGTCGCAAGACTTCTGTTGTAAATACATGAAACCACTAAAAATGAGATAAACACAAAATCTGAGAAATGTGGCGAGGGAGCAGAAGGAAATCCCCTGGGAGGTGGGGTGTCATGTGGATGGAGATCCTGATTACAGGCTTTATGTCCAAAGCCTTTTGTCAGAAGTAACATTGTAGCATCAGACAGACTAAAAAGAGACTCAACTCTAGTTCATATATAAACCCAAGTATTTACAGGGAAGTGTACAGATGCCTGTAATTTAAGTGCACCCAGAATTAAGATTATCGGATGGATAATGGCAAAACCTAGGTGGTAAATTCTTTCACCTCTGCTGCATTCCAAAACCATTCAAGTGCTGGGGGGCTGGCGTGGTACAGGGCCCGGGGACCAGAGACCTGCCATCCTGTGCCCCCGCTCTGGCCACACCCAGCAAGTGACGGAACCCCTAACAAAGCTCAGTCTCCTGTCTGTGAGCTGGGGCAATGGATCGCTCTTGGCCCTCGGCTGTCCTCCCATGCCCAGGTGCCTCTGCACCCTGGTCTGCCCTCGCCAGCCCACTGCCCAGCGCCCCCCACACGTGAGGCAGTGCTGGGATGATCCGCGCTCATCTTCGTGAGACTTAAACAGCAGTGAGACTCAGGAAGAAAATCTAGTCTCAGCCCTTAGAGAAGAAGCCAGGAAGTCACTTAGCCAGGCAGCCCAGGTGAACCAATCAGCCTGCCTTCACAGCAAGCCTTGCTGCCACCCAGGGCCCTAACTTTCTGGCAAGTGTTCTATCTCACCCACAAAACCACGAGACCCTGGATGACAGTGCGTCTCCTTGTCTCACATCATTCAGCTCTGAGAACAAGGAAGCCACGGGGTCTCATGGTCTCATGCGACTGCCGGGCTGATGAGAACAGGGGAGAGAAGCCACGGCCATCCCCCCACCCCTCGCCTTCTGCACTGCCCAGCACGGGGACAGAGCCGCCCCGCCTGCCCACTCACCGAGTAGCCGTCCGCGACACTGAAGACCGTGACCACTTTGCTGGCATCGCACACGGCTAGGAAAGCGCCATCGTGGGAATACGCCACATCGGTCACGGGGCCCTTGGCCTCCAGGAGCTTGCCCTCGTCCTTCAGCGTGGTGCCCAGGATGGAGTACAAGCGGACATTCCCGTCCTGCAGGAGGACAGAGGGGCACTGAGTCACTTCCCGACGTGCACCACTGCGGGAGCACACACAGGCATGCACACGCACACCCCCTCCTGACACCCTTACGCACGCTCTCCCGACACCCTCCCGAAAACCGTTCAGCAGCTCCCACAGCGTACTCAGCTTAGTGGGAAGAATTACTCAGGAAGGTAATTAAAATGCCGAGTGCTAGGCGCCCCCACTTCTGCTTCTGGGTGTTTGGGTGTTCAGGACTCTGCCTCTTTTCATAAACGCTCCAGTAAGTTCTAACGCAGGGCAAACTCAGAACTACCTATACACACTTTAGGGCCCCTCGTCTGGCTCTGTCCCCTCCGGCCACTGCCTGCCCCCTGTGCTCCGTACCCACAGGGCCCTTCCCAGCGCCCAGGAGGTTCCTTCAGGCACCGACTCACTCTGACCAAGCCCCCCTCTGTCCAACCGGCTGTCTCCTAGCGAGCTCCCCCTCCTTGTCGTGACCCAGGTGCTTCTTCACAGGGGAGGCACACCTGCTCTTTCAGATGGCAGGTGCCACCTAGTCCATGGGCTGATCAACTGCCCCAGGGGTCCTTGAGCCTGGGATGCCCAGGAGATGCCCAAGTGCCTGGCTCTACCCAGCTCTCCTCGGCGGGAGCCTCTGAGGGCTGTCTGCACATCTCTGCTGACAGTTCCGCCCGTGCTCTGGAGCTCAGCCAGGGGACACACCTTGGGCACCTGCCCTCCAGGCCAGGGACCCCCCTCCCGATTTCATGCCCCCAGGGACTTGTCTAGGACTTGGGCCTGAGAAGTGTCACACACGGTGGAATGAATCCCTGTGGCATGGATGGACAGACAGAAGGAACTGGGAGAGGTGGTGTCCTTGCGGCTGCCCCAGGCTGCCCTGGGAGGAGGCAGATCAAGGACCAGCCGCCCTCTCGGGGCAGCTGAGCTACCCGAGTGGCGAACATGATCCAAGGTGTCCCAGCTCAGTGCACGACACAGCCCTGGCCCCGCCTCTAACGCAGGAGGAAAGCCCTGTCCGACCCCAGCAGGGTTTCTGAGCTCACGGGACAAGCCCAGCTGATGCCTGCCCGCAGTGCAAGTCTGGGCCCCAGGGTCCTGGGGGTATACCGCCCACATGGAGGCATCGCAAGGAAGGAAAGGGCTACGCTCGCAGACCGCACACAGGACGTCAGAGGAGGGCACACGGCACAACGCCCGCCACCGGGCTAACTACGTGATGGGACCGCCACTTGCTGGAATGTCATTAAAATAAATGAAGACTACTAGCGTGGGGGACAATGGGGAAACTTGGGATAAACAGAGATGTGTCCTGTGTGATCACGGAGATTCACAGGCCCAGGGCTGGCAGACAACCAGGGAAAACGAAAGCTGCCAAGACCTTGAGGTGGGAACTGAGGGGATGACGAGACAGCCATCTCTCTTCTTCTTAAGTGAAAAGAGGTAAAGGTCTAGTAAGCAGGGCATGGTGCTATGCTGTGCAAGGGGGAACACCAGGTTCAAACCCCACGTCTGACTTGGACCTCCTGCCCCAGGACCACAGCTGTGAACTCTTCCCTAAAAAAAGGAAGGCTGTTTCTCAAAACATGCCAGAGGGCAGCTACCTGGGAAAGGGGTAACAGGCCCAGAAGGGACGGCCAGCACTGCGGGGTGCGGGCCTACAGGGACGGTGTCCGGGCCGAGCACGTGCAGGAGAGCAGGGCCGACGGGAACCCTGTGGGAGGCGGTGGGGCTGCTGGGCAGGAGGGGATGCAGCCCCCAGGCAGGGGCCACCACACACACACACACACGGGACACAGCTTACTCGTCTGTGAACACCAGGGCAGTCCACGGGTCTTAGAGCCCCCGAGGACGGCAACACAGAGGAACAGCTACAGTGCAGGGGCTGACAAGCTCTGCTCTCTGTGTCTGGGCAGTGGGGGCTCGACGCCGTGCCCACGGGCTCCTGGGGGAAGGAACAGCTTGTGGCCGTGACAGGGGGCTCCCTCACCCGCTCGGGCAGGCACCCTGACCTGGCTGGTCCCCCTCCGGGCTGGAAGGGCGGGCAGCAAGAACCACTTCTGAGGCTGGGGGGCGAGTGGAGTGGCCGGTGCCGAGCTGACGCGTCCCACGGGCCAGCTACTGGGCAAAGCCCTGCCCGCAGACCAGCCTTTCCTCAGCCCTCACGCCGGCTCTGCGAGATCGGCCGTGGGCCTCTGGGGGGCAGCTGGCCCTCGGCACGGCCGGCACTGCCCGACACTGGCGCCCTTCCCTGGGGGCGCGGAGGTCTGCCATCTCGGCTGCGGAGCTCCCTCATCAGGGCACCTGAGCCCCCCGGGGCCGGACGGGGCGAAGGGAGCCGGTTTGTAAAGCAGGCAGGACTCGGCCTGGCAGGCAGGGACCACCGGGCCCCCGCGGCTCTAGGTTTAGGGGGGCAGGAGCAGCACAGACGTCAGCACTGAAGGAAATCCCTGAACCCATCGGGTTAGTGCTGCTTCGCACAGGCTAGCCATCTTGTCACGCTCCTCCCACCTACAACCCGCCAGCCCAGCTCACCCGTGCTGGTCCTCTCGCAACACGCTAAGTCACGCGTGCCCCACGCATTCGTGTGGCTGACGGCCCAGCGGTCCCCCTGCTGTGCGCTCCCCAGCCCAGCCCCTCCCGCTGCCCGGGCCCTTGGTCCCCCACCACTTCCCTATCTGCCTCAGGACGCTCCACACTCACCCAGCCTGTGTCACCCCCAAACCGCCCGACAGCCGGGGGCAGGAGACTCACCGTGCCCCCGACAGCCACCGTGTCACTGCTGGGGTGCACCGCCACCACTTCGGGCTCGTAGCCGGGGCTGTCGATGCTGAAGCACTTCTTCTGATCCTTGAGCAGGACGATCTGAAAATCACAGGCAGCAGTCAGGGTGCAGAGGCCGGGGACAGACCGCTCGGCCCCGCTCTGGGCCCCGTCTCGAAGCTTGCTGGGAGCAGGGGCCCTGTGACCCTGCGTTGTGCTTCCGCCCTCATCAGCCGCTCGGGGCTGTGACTCTTCCTAGTCACAGCATCGTAGTAACGATCGGCTGCTGTCACTGTCACCGCACGTGCCGGCTTCTCGGGAAGCCATCTGACGCCAGAACTTTCCATCCTCCCCTTACACAGTTCCACAGGAGCTCTGCCGAACGGCCTTCTCCTGAGGTTCAAGGGATGCAAGCATTTGGAAGAGCGGGGCTCTAGAGCAACACTGGGAACGAACAGGACACGCCGGAGTCTAAGTTCTGAAATCCCAGGTCCAAGGAAAGCCCCTCCGCACCGCCCTGGAGCACGGGAACATCCACGTGTGCTAGTGTGAGCGTCTCGCACAGCTGGGGGGCAGTGTTGGTACGTCTTCCACACAAAACTGGGTCCCAGGTGGGGGCGCCAGCGAGCAGAGAGCACAGCTGGGCCCCAGGTCCACAGAAGCTCTTCGCTCCCAACCGGCCTCCCCCCAGAGCACGACCTGGCCCAGGCAGCAGGCAGAACAGGACAGATGGTGCACAGCAAGGCAGCTGGACTGTGGCGCGGCGAGCCCTGTGCGGGGCTCCACCCCAGCCAGGCCTGAGTGCCCAGGTGTCCAGGCCCTACTGAGGGCCCTGCGGGGTTTGATCCTGGCTCGGCCGCCTACTGCTTGTGGGGACAGCTCTGTCCTGAGCCTCAGCTCAGCTTCCCAGGGCAGAAGAACCTAACGGTGCCTACACATCACAAAGCTGGAATCCGACGTTCAGGGTAAATAAAGTCCCTAATAAAGGCAAATAAAAGTAGCAGCTAAGGTCCGCTGAGCCTGAGACACAGGCCTTGCTAAGAGTGCTGCACACACCCCGCCCCTGGAGACGGCAAGATCACCACCCCCACCCCCATACAGACGAGAAAATGGGGTACAGCTATAACTCTCAAAACCAAGCTGGGGCTCGCGTCTGGGCCCCCTGGCTCCCACGCGGTTAACTTCTGCCCACTGGTGCTCACAAGAGGCCCTCTGTACACGAGGACCCTCTGCGCCCTCCACCCCCACGTGCCCCTTGCTACCCCTCCTGCTTCTAGCTCCTGGACTGCTCCCAGACAGCATGGCCTAGATCTGTGACGGCTTTGGCTTCATCCCACAGCACCCCTGCCCAAGCTACCAGCTGCCCCACAAAGGGCAGGCCGGCCCCTGCCCCCACTGTGCAGTGGCCTCCGCTTCTGCGTGTCCTGTGGGGCGGGGGCTGGGGGAAGAGGACAGGTGGACAGGTGGCCGCACCCTCACTAAGACCCACCACTGAAGACGCAGCCTGAGAAACCCTCACCGGCCATCTGCCCGACTCAGGAAGTGGACGTACCTATCTGACCGGTAAGGACTAGGGACACCAGCATTTGCCAAAACTTGCCCAAGACGTGAGACTTGAACCTAGCTGTTTCCCTTCCAGCACATTCTGCTGACCCTCTGACCTGCAATGAGAAGTTCTACGGAAGCTTCCTACCTGGAGTGGGGCAGGGAGGCTGGGCAGCAGTGGCACATCACAGAACAATCCTGCACTCCCCCACCCCTCCCCAGCGCGGCACCAGGCTGGCCCCTCTCTGACCCTTTGTGCAAGCCCCGCTATGAGCCTTGGAGGAAGGCCTGTCAGGACTGCCCTCCACCGACAGGAAACTGAGGCCTGGAGACACGGAGCGCACCCCACGGAGTCGCAGCCCAGGCCCACCCGTGCTTCTAGAAGGCTGCCTTTCAGGCCCCCTACACACCCCCCGCCATAGCTCTCCACGCAGTTCATGCCTGTTGTTCCCCCACCGACCACCCAGGCTGCTGACAGAAGTTCCTGCTATCTAGGACACGCAGAAAACCATTCTCCCAGAAGCACTTAAGTGAGCAGGATGGAGGAGGGGCGGGGGACCCTGAACGGCAGCTGCCTTTACCAGGGTTGTCTCTCCTGCCGTCGGGGGCTGTCACACCTGCCCTCCCTGATCTACACGCTGGGATGCCCAGTCTGCTGACAGACGCCGCCTGCGCCGGAGCAGAGCCTGGTAGGAAGTGGGTCACGCCAGGGTCTCGATCAAGGGTGCTTTGTTCCAGAAATTCCAAAAGAAAAGGTGTATAGGTAACCTGCCTTGAATGAGAAGCCAGGCCGCAGAGCTGGGATACCTAATGCCATTCTGGTCCCAGCACCCCGGCCATCGTGCGGCCTTGGGGAAGTCACCAGATCACTGCGCCTCGGCCCCGCTCAGGAAAGGAAGGTGCATCGCTGCAAGGAGCCTCACAAGCCCCCCTGTGAGCTGCCAGGGAGGAGAAAAGCAGAGCTCACAGATAGTGAGGAGCATGTGCGGATCACACAGCTCCAGGCCTCAGGGCTGCACCCCCGGCAGGCCCCCCGGGCTGATGGGCACACGGGGAGGCTGATGCCTGACAGCCGTGCCCTCTGACAGCTGCAGACCCTGGGCAAGCAACTTACCCCCCTGTGCCTGTCTCCGTGTCTACAGAATGGGGAGGACCCTGTGCTACCGGGGAGGCCTGCGGACGGAGCCAACAGGCGTGCACGTGGGGCTCGGACAGACACGTATCAGAGCTCCCGCCGCACGGGAGGCCAGGGGAGATCGGAGGTCAGATGCCGCGGCCTGCCAGTCCCGCTCTGCCACCCTGCCCGTCCTCCCCGCCACACCGAAGCAGACCGTACCTGCCCGATGCACACGACCACGGCGTAGCCTCCGGGGCCCACAGCCACGCACTTGGGCTGGACGTCCATCTTCACAACTCCCTGCCCACTGGTGCAGACAAGGGAAAACGTGTTATGTCCACCTCATGGGGGCTCGGCGTGCGGGTTAAGCACACACTCACCACACACCCACAGCAGTTCCGGGGGCAGGAAGCAGAGATGCTAGTCCATCCACACGGACAGAGCCATGAGCTAAAACCTGGGACCAGTGAGAAAGGGCCCCCGGCTCCAGGGAAAGAGATCGGAAATCACGCAGGGGCTCGGGTCAGGGGGCTCCCGTCTCTGTTACCTGAGGACTGGCCATGGACCGCCCTGGGGGACCCCATCCTGCTCTCGTCCTGCGTCCATTGGCCACAGACCCTGGCAATCCCTGGATACAGATGGAACCAAGCCCACCACCCACTCCCATGGTCACAGCCACTCTGCTCAGCAGGGTGACTCTTCTGAAGAATCGGATACTTTCACAGATGAAAATCAGGTCTTCGTTTTTGGCTAATGCCGTGAAAACACGCCCTGGAAAATCTTGCACACTTACAAAAACTTCTTGAAAAGAGTAAACGAAGGAAAATCCCCTGTGACTGGCCAAGTGTGGGGTCTGGGAGAGCATCTGGGTTGAGATGTTGCGCCTGGCTTCCCAGGCAGAGTCTACACAGCTCACCGTCCACGTGGGCCACTGGACTGTCACCCGGCCCCCGGCCGAGAGCCCGGTACAGGAGGAGTAGTTGGGGGGAGCAGTGAGAAGAGCAGAGTGCCATCGAGGGCTGCGGGCCGGAAGCAGTGTGGGCGGAGGGCCCCTCTTCCGGGGTGCACTGTGGACCCAGGCCCCCGGCAGCCCTCACCTGTAGTCCCTCAGCGTGAGGTTGGTGTACCGCACAGTGTCGTCCATGCTGCAGCTAACCAGCTGCCCGGACTCGTCCACCGTCATCCTGGACACCTGGTTCGTGTGGCCCTTCCCGGCGAAGGCGTCATTCTCCCCCGTCTCAGAATCCCAGTAATGTGGGGCGGCGGTTAAGGAAAAGCCGCCTCCAGGACATGGCGCAGGCCCCACTGGGGATGCCTGGCCGTCCCTCCTTCGGGACAGCGTATGTGGGACGGGGAGCACGGGGCCTGAGGGGACGTCTACGGCAAGTCTAAGTCCGAATTCCAGAACGTTCTGGTGACAGTGGGCCACTGAGGACGCGCCGAGCGACGAGCAGTCCGGCCGGACCCCCTGCAGCAGCCGGCACGGAAGTGTGCGGGTCCCCGCTGGCCAGCGGTGCACACGGACCACAGCCCGGCGGCGGCGGGCTCCCGCAGCGAGGGGACAGCTCTTCACTGCGGCCCCGCGCCACTGAGCCCACGCCGCCCTGTGTCCTGCAGCGTGCCGTCAAGCCCGTGACCGTCAGCAGGAGGCTGGCTGTGCCTCCCCGCTCAGAGGGTGGCCAGCCAGGTGCCGCCGGGGCTGACCCACCCTGGCTGACCCACCCTGGCTGGGCTGGTTTACACGCTGCGAGCGGGAGGTGCTCAGCGGGGAGGGGTGCTTTAAGTGAGGAGGCTTTTCTTTCACACAAACACCTGAAAATCTCATTTCCAATGAAGATTATTGTTGCCTCTCGAGCGCCACGGGAATGCTGCACGGCCGACAAGCTCTTGTGATGGAGACCCAGCGCCTGATGCCCGAGGAAACGCAGCTATCTGAGCATCAGAGTTCACACCAGGGCAACTGAAGACGGCGCGACTGCAGACCCGCACGCCACTCCAGAAGGGCGGATTCTAGAGCCTTCTCTGCCCCTGATTATCATGCAGCCCCCACCACACACTACCCTCCTTACATTTAATGGGGCAGAGGATGACGTGTCTGCCCTCCTACCCCAGGGCTGTGGGGAGGCCTCCCTAACTGGAGCTCTCTTGGGAAAACCGCAAAGCCCTGCAGGGAAGCGTGGGCCTGCACCCCAGCACCCCACAGACAACAGTCCTGGGAGGAGCGCGGGCTGTAAGGGCTGCTTCACATGCCTCCAGGGAAAGTCTCGCAGGACCGCAAAGAACCTCAGCACAAGCGAGATTGTGGTTCCAGTCCCAGGGGCCGCCGACAAGCGGTGTGACTTTGGGGAAGGCACTTGAGCATTCTCAGCTTCTGTTCTCCACTTTTAAAACAAGGGGAACAATACTGACAGGTTCTAGGTCCTACTTAATCCTAAGACTCCTGACTCACAGCTTGTGAGAGGGATCCGGCAGCACTAGGGGCCCAGGTGGGGGCAGCAGTTCGATTCAGAGCTGAACAGCCACTTACAGCTACACAGAGAGAAGTGACCCACCAGGTCAAGGCTGCAGCACGGAGCCAGAGGCCCCCAGCATGGACACGGCCCGCTGGTCGGAGCCCTGCTGCCGCCACCTGGCTGGCCTGGCCTTTGGCTCAACGGGGACAGAACACTCCCACCTCTCCTGTCAGTGGCCCCGGAGCCAGCTCTGTGAGTCAAAGGATATTGATGTGTCCATCGTGGCTCCCGGAGTAGATGTAGGACTTGCCACCGTTTTTATGCACCGTCAGACACTGGATGGATTTGCTGTGACCCTGCGGAGGACATGGACAGGGCAGGGTGAGCTGAGAACACGCCATCCTGTGTCTGCAACCTGCCAACCGCCCTCCACTGACTGTGCCCCTGGGGGATGAGGCAGAAGGCCGTCCACATCGTGGCGGACGTCCGTGCCGACATCCTGCAGCGCCCCGTGTGCCCGAAACCCCCTTCCATGAGCCACGGCCTGCTTTTCCCCAGCTGACTGGCCATCTGGCAAAACCCCATCATGCAGCCCTCCCCTCCTGGGACCCAACCTCAACCCCGGCCAAGGATGGGATCTAATAAAACCCCAGGAGCCAAGGGCCTGGTCCGTGCAACTGACCCTGGCAGTGCCCCCGAACGGGGGAAAGGCTGCTCATGTCTGGCAGACGGGGGGCGGGGAGCCCCAACCCCGAGCTGAGCCTCCGTGGAGCGGAAGCAGCAGTTAGCGGGACCAGTCGCAGGAGGGCCTAATGCTCACTCACGGAGGCAGGTGGGGGGACGTCCGGGGTGAGAGACCCAGACAGTCCTGGGGTGCTGCTAACAGTCTGTTCTCTCCCCAGAACCGGAACATACAACCCTAGCTTGGACTCCTGGCTGATGAGGTTTCTTCTCTCCCAACACGCCGCTCCCCACCCAAGCTGTCGGAGGGCCCTGACCCCCAAAACCTCTGACTCCTCTGCAGCAGTCCCCCGCTGCTAGGGGGGACACGTAACCTCGCTGTAACTGCTCCTGGGGGCCTGGGGTGGGCAGGTCTCTGTCTGGTCTCTCCCAGCAATGCTCCGCAGCCCGGTGGCACAATTCTGCACAGGCCTTGCCCCAGGAACTTCCCAAGCGTCCTGCGGGGTTCCACTTGTTACCACACCATGGCAAGAAGCTTCCGAGAGAGGGTCACACAGTTCTCAGGAGACACACTGGGTCCTTTCGACCTCACGTCTCCTTCTAGGACACAGTCCACCAGCCCTGGTACTTAACGCGTGGTCCTCAGACCAGATCGGCCCCACTGGGCATCCCACCTGCGCATCCTGAGGACTCAGGACCTGCACCCGGGGAGATGCCTGGGGACTCCATGCACATGCCCTGCCTGGGGCCACAGCCTCACCCGGGGACTTGTGAGGAACCTGAGCTCGCATGTGCCCCACAGATGTCCCCAGACGAACCCAGCCGCCGTGTTTGAACAAGCTGCCTCTCAGCTGACTCTGATGGACGTTCTAGCTTGTAACCACGGCTCCAGCTACACATTGGAATCCCCGGGTGTGTTTTAAAGAAGTACCAACAGCAAGAGCCACCCCTAGAGGTTCTGACCAAATCCCTCTGGGGCAAGTCCAGTTCCAAGGCCTCCCGGTCCTCCTTCAGGCTCTCCAGGGATCCAGCCCTTTCTCTATCTCAACGTGTGGGGCTGAGAACTGCTAATCTAACTCCGGCCTTCTCCTGGGCCCCCACGCATGGCTCAAACACTCTGCAGCGTGAGATCAGCACCAAGTACCCCCTGGGATTCACGCACACGTGCTGTGGCGGGAGCGGGAACAGGAGTTTCTTTTCTGCTAACTGTAAAAGCCCACAGGATGCCCCAAGCTGGCCTGGGGGCAACAGAAGCCCAGCCTGTAGCTCCCGTGCTTTCGGTGGCCCGCGGGAAATTGCTCTTCCGGGCCCAGGTGGGCTGACAGCAACACCTGAATGTCTCAAGGAATTTCTCCCCATCACAACTGGAGGCCCAGCAAAGTGACTGTGTCCTGCGATGGCCCCTGGCTCTGTGCTAGGCCATGTACACCCGCATGACATATACACCACGCCAGGCTGGGAGCCCATCGAGGAGGAGGTCCCAACGCCCCGTCCTTAGGGCCAAGTGGGGGGGGGGGAAGCGTCATGAGAGCAGAAGGTGTGGGGCCAGCAGCGAGGACAGACGCTGCTGTTACACCAGCTCGGTCCTCCCCCGCAAGCCACATCCCCTCCTGAATGGACACAGCGGCTCCCACCTAGGCAACCCCTCCATCAACTCCTAGGCAGAAGCAGGGTCTGCAGGGAGCGGCACCAGCCGGCCCTGTCCTCAGGGAGCGCCTAGGTCCTCACCTGGCTGCTCGTTTCCGGACAGGGGGAAGGCATGCCCCCCACCCCCCTCAGAGTAGGGGCACCCAGGGCAGACTCTGGGCATCAGCTGCCCTGAGGAAGGCTGAGGAAGGCTGGAGATGGGTCCCAGCATCTCCCATCGCTTGCTGCTGCACAAACTCCCGGCCGGGCGTCCACCCGTTTCTCCGAACTCATTCCCTCCCACGTGCCGTCCCTGCTCAACCACATAAAACTCAAGGCCTCCTTGAACTCCATCCCATGTTCAAATGCCACATAATGCCCAGGTCCAGTCCCAAGGCCTCCCGGTCGTCCTTCAGGCTCTCTGCCGGTCCTCCATGTCTGTGGTGATGCTCTTGGGGCCCCGTGTGTTCCGGCTGTCAGCTCCTGAGGGAGGCTCTTCTCCCCAGGGCCCGGGGACTCCTGACAGCAGGGGGAGGGTCACTGTCCACAGCCCCAAGGCCCTGAGCCCCTGGTGCTTCTAGAAGCTCAAGGGGAACTCGGCACCAGCCTCCCACTTCTCCTAAACACATATCCCAAAGCAACTAGCATCCTGCCGTTGCCCAAACCCGCAGGGCTGGTCCCCCTGGGCCTCACGCAGGTTCTCCCTTCTCGCTGGGCGCACACCTCTGCCAGCCCCTTGGACAGAGGCACTGTCGGCACAGCCTTACCTTGATGACCCGCAGGGGTTTGCTGGGGTTGTTTTTGTCCAGGTAATTGATGTACCCAGACAGGGAGATGCTGAGGAGGTGGTCCTTCTGCCACAAGCAGCCCAACTGCTGGTCCAGAACGGTGGAGCCCATTGTAAACGTACTGACGACAGAGTTCACACTGACGTCCCAAATCTTCGAGGTTTTGTCTCCGGAAGCAGAAAGCAAATGGGTGCTATCAGGGCTCCAACTGATCTACTCAAAGGAAACAGCGGGCCACGCGTCAGCGAGCAAAGAGTGGGAAGGGGCCTCAGAAAGCAGCCTGCCCACAGCCCCCATTTCTGAGCAGGGAGAAGCCACGGCGGGGGGTGGGGGAGCCGGTGGGACCAGTGTCCAGGCCCCTGCTCTGGCCACTGGCTTCTCCAGGCCACGACACCCCTTCTGTGTGACCGTGAAGCTTTCCACCGCCGCCCCTACTCAGCCCCCTCAAACTTCATGCTTCTGACTCCAAGTTGTGTCCGGACGACTGCACACGTACACACGGCCCCACCATAGTCGCTGACACACTCATACAACCCGGATCCGTACTCACAGCGTAAATGCCTCCGTCGTGAGCCTTGCCTCCTCCCAGGGCACACACTTTCTCTCCCGTCTTTCCATCATAGATGTAGATCTTTCAAGGAATAACACACATGTGGGTCACAGGTGGGAGGATGCGCTCACCAGCTGGCATGCAAAATGAGCTCTTCCTCGTCCCTGCTCTACCGTCAAGAGTTTGCTACTGTGACTCTTAAAAAAAGAATCTGAAAAATGTGCTAACAGGCAGAGTTTCCAGCTCCATTTAAAAGGAGAGAACTGGAAAGGGGGCCACCAAGCTGTGAGGACACAGCCTGGGAACGGAGTGCCTCCCAGGAATGGGATGGAGGGAGAGTCTGAGTTCCTCTTGGGAAGACTGGCTTTGGGAGGCTGGCCTGCCCTGAAGAGTTGAGAGGCGGTCAGATGAGCCCCCACCACCTTGGGCCCCAGCCCTCACCTGACCATCCGCGCTGGCTGTGGCAAATCTGTTCCCATCAGGAGAGAATCGCACACAGTTGACAAAGCGGCCGTGATCCTGCAGGAAAGAGCACAGTTATGCACCTGATGACAGGAGACTCTGGAAAATTCTTCATGAAATACGCAATCTGCTTCAAACATCTGCTCCGGCTGCCAATGTGAACTATCAGTCCACAGGAAGACCTCAGAGCTTAAATAAAACAAGCCTGAAGCAGCTCCTGACTCACTGGGAGGTCTGCATCAGCCTGCCTGTCTTGGCCCAGGCCCATCTGTGCCCGCAAGGCTGTCCCCTGCTAGGCCTCCCATTCCATGCTCGGTCGGATGCCTGAGCTCCCCTTATCCTCATTCCACAGAGCAGACAGAGCCCAGACAAAGCCGGCTCTCTTCCCTCAGGGCCCCAGAGGTAGCTCAAGCCCAGAACCCTAGGCCTCTTCCCCAAGTCTCCAGGGCCCAGCACACAGCAGGTGCTCAGCTGGATCAGGATGGAGCTGAGTTAACTGAGGTTTTAAAGAAATTAGACAATGGTCTTACACTTCTGGGGAGTAAGACTCCAGATGACTTCCAGGGATGATTCCCTTTCCTAAAGATTCATTCTTTCCTCCATCAAGGGTTTGCATAAGAAAACATCCTCTAGGGGCACCTGGGTGGCTCAGTCGTTAAGTGTCTGCCTTCGGCTCAGGTCATGATCCCAGGGTCTTGGGATCAAGCCCTGCATCGGGCTCCCTGCTCCACGGGAAGCCTGCTTCTCCCTCTCCCACTCCCCCTGCTTGTGTTCCTTCTCTCGCTGTCTCTCTCTCTCTGTCAAATAAATAAAATCTTTAAAAAAAGAAAAGAAAACATCCTCTAAACACCCCACACCTCCTCCTCTACCTGTAAGAAACACCCCTTAAGTGAACTTAATAATTTATTATTAACTCTCCTCAAAGTAGGAAGTGTTAAGGGCTTCTGGGGTATAAACACCTAACCTTAAGGAAAACCCGCACCCATCACCTGCCCCCACAGCGCCCTCCAAGGCCAAGCACCGAGTCAACTTAAGTCAGGAGCTGCTTGTGTGAAGGCTCCGCACGCGTCTGCGTCACGTGAGGGGCTGAATCGTGCTGAAATCGTGCCACCTGTGAACAGAAACCTCCTTAGGAAAGAGAAGAGGGTCTGTGCAGATGCAGTTGAGGTACGATGAGGTCCTTAGGGCAGACCTAACGCTCCATGAGGAAGATTAGGACAAGACACAGACGGGGAGGGAAGAGCAGGTGAAGATGGAGGCAGACTGGGAGGACGCTCCTCGAGCCAAGGAATGCCAGCGGACAGAATCTGGAAGGAGTCGGGGGAACACAAGCCTGCTGACACCTGGATCTCAGGCTCTAGCTTCCAGAAACGAGAAGAAATCCCTGTTGAAGCCCCTGGTTTGTAGTCCTTTGCTGTGGCAGCCACAGGGAACGAGGACACCAAACACCATCATCTGTAACGCTCCTGGGATAATAACCCTTCAAGGACACTGTGCTCACTGCACTGCGAAGAAACTCAGGCCAGGAAGGAGAAATTGGGGCCAGGATCCCGAGGAAGGGAGCCATAGAGCCGGGATCGGAGAAACCCATGTGTCTGCGAAGTCCAACTGGGAGGCTGAGCAGAAGAGTCACCCCTCAATTGGGTTTTCCCCGGTGTAGGCAGCTCTCGTCTCGGACACACGAGACTGTGATCTCCGCCCACAGACTCTTCCAGGCCAGGCACCTTGGGCCCCAGGCAATTCGGTCCAGAGCTGGAGCACAAAGCCAGCCCCGCATTCTGCTCTTTAGCAATCACACCACTGCTCAGCTGACAAGGCCAGAAGCAGCCAGCCCTTCATCTCCCTCAGAGGGATTCCCCCGCAGGGGTGGGGACTGGAAAGCCTGAGCACTCTGAGCCCAATGACACTGGGGATCCACACAAGCCGGCTTTCCTTTCTGCCTCTTTCTGGCAAACACCGTCGTGGGGCTGCAACTTTGCTCTGACTCAACAGCCTGACCTCTGGGGCATCATCATCAGTGCCCGCGGCAGAGGTGCGATGGGGCACGGCTTCAGCCTGAACTTGGCTCTGGTTTTGGGACCGCTGGGAGGCAGTTCCCATTACTAACATGCCACCCACCTGGCTCCCGGGGCCCAGCCTCAGCCAGGCCAGGTCTGCAGGGTGACACCAAGGCCACAGACTGGAGCTTCTTACGTGTGCTCATCTGTGTGAGGGCTGACCTTCCACGCTCCAAGGTCTGGCCCCCATGTTTTAGAGCAGGCGCAATCCGCCAATCTGAACCACAGTGGAAGGAATCCGCTTCCCAAACTGCGATCTCTCAAGCCCTCCAGAGTGCTTCTGCCTCCACCATGGTCACCTGTCACCCACCACCTCACCACTGCGAGGGCCCTGGGGAGCCTCCAGGCACCTCCCAGGAGACAACCAGGCCCAGAGGGAACCTGGGTCTCCGGTTTCTCTTCCAGAACACTGGGCTTAGCTGCACTAGCTCTGGGGCCTGGGCAGGCCAGGTCATATCCTTAACTCCCCAGGCCAAATGCCACCGTGGTGCCAGCCGGGCTCCCCAAGAACTGGGGTGCTGAAAGAGCACACAATAAACGGAGCAGACCCTGGGCTAAAGGGGTCGCTGCAGTGGGATGCTGAGCCCCCTTTACTGGGCATTAAGGAATATGCCAGGAGTTAGATGGCCGGCCACCACTCAAGAGAGAACAGGAACGTCCCCGTATCCCAAGCCCAGCTCAGGGAAGTCAGGATGCCCTCCTGAAGGGCGGCACCAGACACCCAAGCCCCACACCTGCCCATGTCCACCCAGCGGCCGGAGCGATCCCATTATGAGGCCACTGCCTCTCCTCAGAAAGGCCTTCTCCCTTGACCACCGGCCCCTGTCTCTCCGGATCCGACTCCTCCCAGCACTCAGCATCCCCGATGTTACAGGGGATGTCACCCATGATGGGCTCGTGGCCCTCCTCCCGGATGGAACGCCGCCAGGTCCCTCCCCAGGCCCTAGAACAAGACAGGCTTGTGGGAAAGCCTGGGTTTAGTGAGGGCCAGAAAGAGCAGATGCCCCCAGAGGACCAGGCGCTGTGTGAACCCAAGGCCTTTGGCTTTAGAAACTCCTCCCTGTCAGCTTTTCCTGCAGCTTGAGCCAAGAGTCCAAATGAGCAGGAAACTGATGTCTGCTCCTGAAATAGCCCACATAAAGGCAAACAGCAGTGAACAGCCCATTAACCAAAAAAGTGAGGGCTAAAAATAGCCTGTTCCACAGGGAGGTGAGGCCTGAGTACAAAGGAACGGGTCCGGGGAACCATCACGGGGTGGGGGGGCGGGGGGCATGGGGAGGGTTCAGACACCTGACGGGCTTCTTCCGGCTGCCCGACCCAGCGGCCACCTACTGGGCTGGGGCTCCCAGCCCCTGGCCCTCCCCACGCTCCCTGGAGGAGTCACAGCCCCATCCTGCAGGCCTAGCTCACTCAGGCCATGCCCTGATGTGGAAGGTCCTCGGTGTCCGGTCTACGCCTGTCGGCCCATCAGTCACAGCTGACACTCACTGCAGCTCGGCGGGGACTGTGTCAGCGGATCCTCCCGAGAATCCCCCACGGGATTCACTATCTCTCCCCCATCAACACCTGACCCACCAGCACCCCCTCCAGACACTGAGAACAGAGCCGTGAAGCCATCAGGTAATAAGTAATGTACCTGAGCCCCCGTCACTGATAGGCTCAAGCACCACGGGGCTCCACGGCCCGGCTCCAGCGAGCACAGGCCGATGAGCTGGTCCGCTCAGGTGTCCCCTCTGGGAGCCCTCCCTGGTTTCACTGGCCCCAGCTGTCCCCTGAACGCACAACTGCTCCTAACCCTCACACTGAAATGCCTGCCCACCTGTCCTGCTGCCCTCCCGAGCTCATGGAGGGAGAACCGGCTCGGGCGCCTGGGCCCACCTCCCCGTCCTCCCTGAGCTCATGGAGGGAGAACCGGCTCGGACGCCTGGGCCCACCTCCCTGTCCTCCCTGAGCACGGCACGCGCCTCCACAGCTGGCGCTCTGAAAATGGCCTCTGTCCTCCCCTGAAACCCTGCCTCGCTCCTTCAGTCCGCCGCCCCCTCCACTCCTGCCGTCCTGGCCAGGCCACTCACGCTGCCATCAGCCACGTGGGGCAGGAGTAGACCAGCAAGGAAATGGGGGGAAGGAGACCTGCCCCGTTGACCCCCAGCATGACCGGCACCGATGAACCCACAGCTCTCTGAGAAGCCAGACCGGCAGGTCCAAGGGCGGGAGGCGGAACGGCTAAGGACGAGGCAGGCCATTCTGTGGGCCCAGCCTGGGCTGGAACAACGCAGGCCCCCGATACACGCTGAAGGACCGACACTGCTGCTTTCTGCCCTGCTGTGAGTCAGGAACAGGGAAAACCACCAGAAAAGCCTGCAGAGCAGAGCTCCAATTTACTTACCTGCCTAGAAAGGCAGTGCCTCTAATAATAGCCAAGACAGATTTCTGACTCAACTCCGCTCCGCTGCGTAGAAGGAAGTGGGACACCCCCCTTCAGTGCCGCCCGTGATGGGTGAGACCACACAGGTGGCAGGGGAAAGCCCAGGACAGCCGGCTGGAGAGGAGACCAGGTGTCCCCTCTGCCACAGGTGGGCGCCATGCACGCTCAGAAACTCAGGCAGGATGTTCCCATTTCCAGATCACACAGCCACAGCCTGGACAAGCGGGCCCGGGCCACAGGAGTGCCGCCTAAGCAACCGCTGAACTAGACAAACTATCCTATCGCCCGCAACACGTGGCTGTGGGAAAGGCTGACACAGTGTTCTCAAGAGCTTGCTCCAGAAGGGGCCTCCATGGTCGTGCCCGGCAGAAGAGGAAGCCCAAGGCCAGAAGGGCGCTGAAACCTGCCCAATGCGCCCACAGGCAAGGTGCACAGACAAGGCGGGCAAGTGAACCACGCCTCGGTCGCAGGGACGTGCTCGGAAGGAAGAAATTCCTGCTGCAGAGGCCGGAGTAGGTAAGGGCCCACCTGCCCCTTCTTTCTTGGGTCCTCCAAGGGAACCTCAACCTTTGTCCACAGAATGCCAGTGCCAGAAGCAGAGACAGTGATGCCCCAAGCCTCCACCCCACACCCGGCCTCCTACGATCCTGGGGAAGTCACCTGCCCAGGCGGCCCACGGCATCTGAAATGAGGGTGGCCTGGGCCTTTTCCACTCAAGGTTCCTCCACCCCATCTTCCTGCAGCCTCTGGAGCCCACAGCAGGTTCAGGCAAAGGAAAACGAACGCTGAACTGACAGCCCGAGGGCCCAGCAGAGCCTGGCTGAAGCTGATCCTAACTTAGCTCCGGAGGATCCAGGAGTCTACACTCACTCTGCACACCATAAGCAGCAGGTTTAAACCAATAAGCTCAAGAACCAAAGAGAAAAGTGACCGGACCCCCGCTGTAGGCCAGCAGGATGGCCAAGCGAGCTGAGTATGTTCAGTCCCTCTGGCTTGTCTGAAACCCTGCTTTTACCTCCCCTTGGGTACGTGCACCAACTGCGTTTTATTCTAGCACGTACTGAAACTGAGAGCACAACTCAGTCTTCCTCAAGGCAGCCACTTGAGCTCAACCCCTCTGTGCTCCTGACATGCTCACCCCTTGTCTCCCTAGCCTCAGCCATGGTGCAGAGGGAGACAGCAAGAAGCTGGAGCCTGGATGGGCAGGCAGCCAGCCACCCACTCCAGCTGCACTCTGGGGCTCTGAGGGTCCAGGGCAGATACACGTGCATAAGTCAGACTGATCTACACAGTTGTCAACACTTGACGGGACATTCTGGGTGGGTGTGGGGCCCCGAGTGCTCTCCCCACCCTTCATTCGCTGGCCACCTGAGCCTGTTAGAATCTTCTCCAACAGAAGCCCAAAGATCTCCTAGTGGACACTCTGATATGACGTCTGCCAGCATCTCTCGTCCTCCCACAGGTCTACGGGGCTAGCAGAAGACAGCTGTCACCGTCCCGTCTCCCGAGGGGACCCGGACACGCCACTGGCCCATCCAAGGGCCACAGAGCCAGCCAGCTGCGGCTCTGGGCTGCCACCCAGCATCCCCCACTCCTGGTCTGCAGCCAGGTCCTGATGCAGGACCCATGGGTGACAGGCTCCACAGGCAGACCTGAGGACAAGCTGTGTGCCCACCCTGGACACAGGTACCAGCTGGACTAATGTTTGTACCTGACAGCCCTGGGCCGGGGCCTTGGGGTGAGGGCTGTGTTCTCATGTTAGAAAACAAAATGGAAAGAGAAAGATTATTCCGGCCAAGTCCCCAAGTGAGCACATGGAGAAGGCTGGCAGTGTGCTGGTCACAGGCTCGAGCCGCCTGAGCTCAAACCTGGTCTGCTGACTCGCTGCTGAGCTGCTCCGGGCCGGGTTTAGTCTACATCTGCAAAGAGGAAGTGATCCTTCCCAGCATAAGGAGAGGTGCCTCACTGGCCCACAGCCCAGATCACGGCCAAGTGACATCAAACAGTGGGGGGTGGAGGGGGACTTGGGAGCAGGGACAGCTTCACTGAGACATGCAAGGACAGCCTCCTGTTGCCACAGAAAACCTCTTATCTCCCTCTCCTCCTCTCCTGGGTGCAAGGCAGGACGCTCAGTTATCTGATGCATCCCACGGTACCTCTACCTGCACTTAGTAAACACTGACCTTGAACAGCCTTCGACAAAGCCCCCACCACCTACCAAGCGGGCAGCAGGAACCGGAGACGGTTCAGGAGCAGGAGACGGCCACAGGAACTGCTGCAAAGGGAGCTCTGAGCTGCACACCCCACGGGGCACGGAGAGCCTTGCTGGGCTTCCCACGCAGCCGCCTGGCCCTGCTCAGGGGCCCTGGGGACGGAACGGAGTGTTTCACCACTGGCAGGGCAGGAGCCCCTCCGTACCCGAGCCAAGATCTGCACTGCCCACCGCCCAAGTGCCACCCTGTTGGGAACCTGCCGAGGAAGTGGCATCATCCTTTCCGGCCATACCGTGCCCACAGTTTATGAATCACTGCATGCAGTCATCGAAGTAAACAGCGGTCCCCACAGAGCCACTTTAAGGACATTCTCTCATTTCATCCTTGATGAGGTAGGACAGGGAACTGCTCTGGACCCGTGGGCAGCCGTGCAGTTAAGTTCATGGTTAAAATGCACTATATTGATGCCCCCATACCCACCTTGCAAATGGGAAAGATGAGGCTTAGATTCAGACCCTTGTCCCAACCAGGGAGCAGGGGCAGAGCTGGGACACTCAGCTAAGGCGTTTAGACACATGTCTTCTACAGGCAAAGCATCTAACTCTCCTCATCGTGTGTCCCATTCAAGCTGTGACCCTGCCCTCATCATCTCACAGGAGGAGACGAACCCGGGTGTCCCTGGAAGCTCACCAGCTCTACCACCTGGCTGGCTCAGCAGGTCTCGAGCTGGCAGAACCAGAGCCAAGCCTGGGCTACCCCTTTCTAACAAAGCTCCTTTAGGCCAGGACACTCACTTGGTCACAGGGCATCAGAGGTGTGTCCTCCCTGCAATCCCAGAAACACACACGTCTCCCAGGGTGGGTCCCTCTTTGCTGGAGGCAGCCCCGCCGGCCGGACGGCTAGCGTGCTGTCCCAGCATCACGTCACGCTCCCCCGCAAACCCCTGTCTACACATCACGGCATAAATGACACGTGCCTGCAACCCTGCGGGTCTAGACTGCCGGTTTCACATGCAAACCACCCCCAGAGGGGACGTCACTTACGCCAATTGTAAACTTGAACTTGAACGGTGGCCCCTCAAAGAACGCGGCACAGTTATCGTCACTGCCCGTGGCCAGCCGGTACGGTCTGCTCTGCTTGATGTCCACACTGTTGATGACTTTGTTGTGTCCCGTGATCTCGCCCACGGAAGAGCCACTGTCCCACAGGAAGACGGCTCCAAACCTTTACCCGAAGAGAGGAGTCACAGGAAGAAAACAATCAACCCTGGGGACGGTCGATGAGCTGTGGGCAGCTGAGTGGCCCGTGCTCAGAGCGGGGCGGGGTGGGGGGGCGTGCTCACGGCCACGCTTCCTGCACACTCGCTAAAGGAGCAAACACGAGGCACCGTGGTTTCGGCTCTGTGCCGTGTTTGTCAAAGAATCTGAGAACAAGTGCCTCTGGGAAGGGTTGGATGTCTGCGTCTGTATGGTCCAGGGCCAACAAGTCTCCCACCTGCCGGGGGAACAGCTCTGTGGCTTACCAGTTTCCTAACAGTTGTACTGGGCGGGACCAAGGTATTTAGCAGCTACCATCCTCTACTAGAAAGGAGAGGATGCCTTGCTCTCAGCTGGCATCCGATGAACACGCCACTGCGGGGGTTACTTTTTGTATCCGAATGAAAACTGAATTGTTAAGCCCAATAGGATGACCTGAAAAACTATGGCAGAACGCTTGCCAGAACACACATTAAAAATAGCCTCTGAGTAAGGGAAACGAGATGTGTGCCTGCCAAGTCCCAAGTGCCTGAAGCCGTGTGGTGCCCTGGGGGGAACCCTGCACTGCGGTACTGACCCTGCTGGTCACTGGACCCAGGTGCAGCAGCCACTGAGGGCCACCAACCCCGTCTCCACCGGTCCCCTCTTCCTTCGGAAGGTCACCACCTTCGGTGACGTGCCCAGCTCCCCTGCAGCCAGGTGTGGCTGTGTGGTATGCTGGGAGGGACCCCAGTGACGCTCCCGGAGCTCCCTTTCCCCTCCTTCCCTGCTGCCTGGAGTGTGGGCATGATAGCTGGCGCTCCAGGAGGTGAGGGGCCAGGGATGTCAGAGATAGAGAGAGAATGGGCCCGGCCCCAGGGGGCCTCAACACACACTAGCCCAAGCTGGCCCAGAGGTCACCGCTCCCCTCCCAGCAGGGGCACCCACAAAGAAAGCAAAGCAAAGACACACGGGCAGGGAGGGGCCGAGGCCAGAGACTCACTTCTCCCTTCCTTCCCCGACCACTGCGATCCTCTTACTGTCTTCTGTCCAAGCAATGTCCTTGATCTTCCCAGCGAAAGGCTGATACTCATACTTTAAGAGGTGCTCCTTCTGCGTGGTATCCCAGATCCTCAGCTTTCCAGATACATCTGTGGACACAAAGGGTGGCGAGAGCCATGTTCACCCCCGGGCCCGGGCCGTGTGGGCACGAGGCCCACCCATGCAGCACGGCCCAGGGGCTCACAGGTTTGCTGCAGTTGCCCAAGGCCACATTTCAAGTGAGCAAAATGTGCCACGGGTCCATCAGGGCCTGCGGCCTCTATGAGGCCCACGACTGGGTCCCTGCACTGCACCAGCCATCCCCTGGATGACAAGCCCTGTGTGGGCACGAGGAAGCCAAGACACACGGAGGCAGGCCAAGGCGGCAGGCAGCAGTCTGGTTCTATGATTCTAGTCTCCCCGCAGGGGAATCTAAATGGTGTACAGGCCTCGGGCAGCTTTCTGAACTCTCGGGACTCAGTTCTTCGTTTGCAAAATGTGACAAGACTAGTGATAGCCGCCTCTCCCACGCAGCGACTGAGCTAACAAGGAGCGGAGCTGTGTGCAGCTGGTGCACGCCGTGACTTGCACGCGGCCCCCGCCTGGGCTCCCCTCCAGCTCCTCGTCTGCACCCCCCGCATCTACGGCGGCTACGGCGACGCACATGCCACAGCCCAGACGAGTGAGGTGAGAGCAGGTGCCCTGTGGGAGGCGCGCAGGTGGGTGCTGGAAGGCGAAGTGGTACTACAGACGGAATGCGAAGCCACGCCTCTCCTCGGGGATTAGTAATCAAGTGACTGCGCAGGAGGGAGAAGCACACCCCTCCCTTCCCGGCAGGATCCTGTCACGGAGATCTGAGACCAACTCCGACACAGCCCTTTCCAAAAGAGCACCGAATTCCCAAATCAGCATGAAAATGGAGGATTTTACAGTAACTCCTCCGCCCAGACTGGGCCTGGGGGGAGGTCCTCCCAGGAGGTAAGCTCCGGGGGGTTCCCAGGGTCCCCAGGCCTCTTTAGCACTTAACACAGACCCTCCGGCTGCTCTGTGAGCCCAGCTTCTGTCCTCCCGCTCGGGCCGCAGAGCTGAGGGAGGCGGAGGCTGCACGGGGCTCCAAGGGTACAAATGCCTTACACCGACAACTGCACTGACCAGAGTGGGGAGGACAAGGCCACCTCCGGGGGGGCTGCTGCGAAGATGACATGAGTTAGCACATGTGAAGTCTTAGACTAGCACTGGGCACGCTGCAGGCGCTTGCTGCAAGCTGGTCATCACTCCCCAGCGAACGAACTAAGGCTCTGCAGGAAGCCACTGGAGACCCTGCCTCACAGCAAACACCCGCACCCACAGTCCGCGGGCCAGACAAGGGGAGACTCCCTGCCATGTGAAAAGCACAACCTGAGGGGTCCCGGGGGTGCTGGGCCTCTCTGGGTGAGGTCCAGAAAGGCTGCCTGGCCGAGGCGAGTTCCAAAGATGACCTAGAACTAGTTCAGTCCCTAACCAACGGGCCAGCGGGAAAGGCAAGGAAGAGGCAGATGCCGGAGCATCAGAAAGGACACGTGTGCAAGCAGGGTCGTGCGCACACTCACACACAGGCCAGGCCGTGTGGTCAGCTGGGCTGAGGCCGGTCCAGGGGGCTCTGGAGTCCTGCACAATCAGCGTCTACAGCTCAGGCTGGCCGCGTCCCACCGTCTCGGACAGGACGGAGCCGGCTTGCCCGCTTCCCCTGGGCTCTGCCAGTCCCTGCCTGCCTCCTCGGGGCGCTCAGGCTCCTCTCCGGGCCGGACACGAGTCGTTTCTCCCACGGCCTCCCCACCAGACCCCCCACCTCCTCCGGTGGGCCCTGCTTGTCCATTTAGTCCTTCTTTTGTTTCATCTGAGGGAAGCTGACAACGTCACATTACTTTCAGGTGTACAACCTACTGACTTGACAAGTTCATCCATTACGCTGTGTGCACACAGGTGTAACCATCATCTGTCCCGACATCGCTATTAATGACGTCTGCGACTGTGTTCCCTGTGCTGCGCCCTTTACCCCCGCAACTCGCTCACTGCACACCTGGGAGCTTGTGTCTCCCACTCCCCCGCCCCCGCCCCTCTGGCAACCGTGGTGTGTTCTCTGTATTTATAGTCTGATTCTGCTTTTGTCTGTCCTTTTTTCCCCTTAGATTCCACTCTTAAATGGAATCCTATGGTCTTTGTCTTTCTCAGTCTATTTTACTTACTGTAATACCCTCTAGGGCCTCCCGGAGTGTCTCAGATGGCACGATCGCGTCCTTTTTTACGACCGCATCACGATTCCATCATATATATATGCCACATTTTCCATGTCCATTCGTCTATTGAGGGACACTTAGGTTGCTTCCATACATTTAATTCTTTTTCAGAAGCAGCTGGGGCTAGGAACAGACAGTGGGGCATGGAGACCAGGTGCTCGGGCCCCACTGACGAGGGCAGCCCCTGTGCAGTCACGAGATCCTGACCAACTGCCCATGGGTGCCAAGCCCTGTGCTGACTGCTGGGGACACAACAAAGACACCTGCCGGGGGCAGAGGACACCTGCAAGAAGCCAGAGATGATGGGGAAAAGAGTTCCTTCTGTCCCCCACTGGGAAGGCATCTCCCTCTCCAGACAATACGCTTCATCAAGGGGAGCAGACTGGGTGAGCCTGCCCCCTGCCCCCTCCCCCCAGCAGCTTAGCAACATGGGGGGCAACAGGGAGCAGGGAGTGACGTGGGCCTTCCAGTGCCCACGGAGGCCTCTGCTCGCCAGCTCTGCAGCACGGCCTCTCTTCCTACGTTCCTCACCTGAGCAACCCTTCTCTCCTCTCCTCTGGGCATGGGGCCCCTCTCCTAGGAAGCCTGCCACTCTGCGGCCTGGGTGCATGCTCTGAGGGCAGCCCGAGATTCACAGCCCTGGTGGGTGCCCAAGGGACGGACTATGGGGTATAGACCACTAGCATTAAAATTACCCAAGGGAGACACGGCTAGAAATAGGGAATTGGGTTTGCCCTGGAAATGGCTCTGAACAAGAGAACATGGCACTGTGGGCATGTCAACCCAAGGGCAGAGACTGACCATTTTGTTCAGGGCTGGCTGGCATGGGCTCATTACACAGTAGGCCTTCTGGAAGGTTCGATCATTCAATGACATAGACCATTCAGACTCACAGGAATCTGAAGGTCCCACAGAGGGCTGGAACCCCATCTGGGAGCAAGCCACAGGCTTCCCAAGGTACTGAGACCCCCCCACCCTAACCTGGGGAACCCCAGGTACCACGTAACCCACTTAGCTGGAGAGCACAGCCCTTTCTCAGCCTCCCTCCTCCTCACTCCAAACCCTGTACAACCACACTATTTTTAGCCCAGGACCTAATCTCTGCAGTGAATGTTTCCTTGTCTTCAGTTGATTCAAGGGACCAGCAGGCTAGAAACGTAAATGTGATCTCCACCCAAGAGCACCTGGATCTATATGCAGCCCAAACCTGCCTCAGTTCCTGCCCAAATCAGGGAGCTTTCACGAGAGAAAAATGTCAAACTGATCCTTTACTTAGGTGGACTGTCCTTTGCAGTGGTCTCTGTGCCAGGCTTCCTCATTGATTTAGCATTAGGATCTGAAGAGCCTGGCTCTCTGGCTGGTGGAGCACCCTGCCCTGCGACCCGGGAGTGCCGGCCCGGCTCCCACGTGATTCAGCAGCCGGGCCTGCAGCTCCACGTGCCAGGGTAGGGAAGCTGTGCCAAGCAGGCAGCGGCGCCCTCGCCAACCACGCTTCTCTCCTGAGAAGACATAATTTTAAAAGGCACCAGGGCCACTTCTTGGGGCTTTCAAGGAAAAGGTATTTTCCTGGCAAGCAGGGCCGGCCAAAAAAAAAAAAAAAAAATTACACGGCTAAAATAAACCAAGGCATAATAAATTAGAGCACGTTTTACAGATAGAGTTGGAGTGAGTCTAAACACCACCATCATTAAGTGCCCACGTTGGGCCAGACTCCTGGCCAAGCTCTTTACACTCGGCCCCGACCGCCGGCTTTAGCCATCAGCCAGCGTGCCTCTCTCTCTGGCGTGTCCCGGTTTTAGTGGCACACACTTCGGTCACCTGCTGTCAGGTGGCCACCAGCACAAGACAGGCCCAGGCATTTCACACACACTGCTGCTCCGGATCCACTGTCCGGCTTCCGGGAGAGAACAACAGGGCCCAAGAAGGTAAAGTTATTCCAGGCAGGCCGCACAGCGTGTAAGGGACGAACCCTCCAGGGACAGCCGCAGGGATGTGTGACCCCTCTCCTGGCCAGTCGGCTCTTTCAGCAATTCGTTCCTCTCTGCTGCTCTCTGGGGAGGCTGACAAGGCCCAGGCCCACACCCGCTCACTTGCTTGGCTTCCCCTGAGGCCGGAGACAGGGCTGGGCACTGACAAAGCAGTCAGGATCTGCTGAGTGTGCGAATGAACAAATGAGTGAATAAACGGGAGGCCACGCTAACTTCCGTGCCTCCCCTTCTCATCTGCAAACGGTAAAAGATCTACCTCAAAGAAGCGGGTGAACAAAGCATCCACCATGGTAAAGATCTTTATGTCCCTCCTCCCAGCCAGCCTCCCACAGAGCCACACAAAAGCCTGGCTGGAGTGGAAAGGAGCGCTTGCCTGAGGCCCACATTGACAGGACTGGGAAAGGAGCAGCTAATGAATAAAGGTGACACAGGACAAAGCTGCAATTCACAAAACACACACACACACACACACACACACACACACAAAATGAGCTCCCAAACATCATGATACAGCTACCCACAAAGGCCTCTGGCCAACCTCACAGGAGTGTTTCTGCTGACCTCTGAGCTGGAACCAGCTGGAACACCGCCAACTGCAAAGCTCTGCAATGGGGCTTTTTGGCGGCTTATACTTTCCTTGTCAGCCCCAAATGAAACTAATCACACTGGCTCCCCCTGCCGCAGCTCCCCTCCCTTTACCACACCCCCCACCTCCCACCACCCTATGGCCAGGAGTCCAGTCTAGCCTGGGGAACCCCTGGGCCACACCACAAGCGTCCACGAGCCACGCGCACACAGGTACCTCCAGAGGCGATGTAGAACCCGCTGGGCGCGTACTTGGCCACCACCACCTGATGGGCATGCTCCGTGTAGATGTCAGCAAGGGCTGGGTTCTGCAGGGAGGAGACCAGAATGAACACAAGGAATGCAGAAGCAGTCAACTGCTTCCCCCTCTCCCGATGAGTGGATTCGGGGGCTAAAAATAACACACGCACAAACATTTAAGTCAAAACCTCCATAAAGAAAAATCCCAGCAGTACGACTACCTGCCTACACACCCACTGCCTGCCTATCTTCGGGTGATAGGAATCTAGGCAGTATTAACTCTTTCTCTTTCATCTACAGCTGTGGAATTTGAGATGATTGTCTTTCCTTTGCTTTTCTGCACTGGACACAGTACCAATATGTATTTGTAAAATACACGCTTGAGACAGAATTTTCACTGAAAAAAAGTCTACTATTCTACTTTTCTTTGTGGGGAGCCTCCCGCTGCGGCTGCTTTCTCCAGTCACCTGTGTGCCGGTCTCCCTGTTCAGGAGCAACTCAACCCCAGCTGCCGAGCAGCGTATGGCCTGAAATAGAGCCCCTGGCTTTGAGCTCCAGCAGCACAGCGGAGCGCGGAGCTGGGAGCCTTCCCCTTGTCACAGCCGTCGCCGGGCGATGGGGACTTCCTACTCGCTTCGTAGCCCAGATGGAAGGCTGGCTGGACTCACAGCAAGAACAGGGCCAGCATGTGGGACGAGAAGCATCTCCACTGCTCAGCAAGAAGGTCCTAATGTCTAATTTACTAAAAGCAGACAGCGGCGCCCCCACTTCCACACACTCGAGCGGCCTCAGCAAACCTGCAGCACACATACTGAGATGCTCTCGATTTGTCCCTACAGCTGGGCTTTCTTTCAGGAGGGAACAGACTCGGTCATATACTCCCCAATTCCCGCAGTCGGCTTTCTATGAACCAAGCACTCTTGAAAAGAGGCCGCTTCCCACTGGCTGGAGGCTGAGGACACATCAGGCCCCAGTGTCGACACCCTGCTTTCTAGAGGCGGCGGCTGCAGGCACATCTAGCCTGACCCCCAACTGCCCCCCCTTCCCGACCTGACCACAAGACCAGAGCCTGCACTTTTCTCAGCCTTCTGGCCACAGGATCCCCACACCCCCCATCCTACCAGACTGAGACCAGAGAAGCGGACTCTAAATTCTAGCCCCGCCCACCACCGCCCACCTTCTGGCATTCCTGTTCGGCCCACGTCTCTCTGCAAATGCTGTTCCCCAGAACCACCCCTCCTGCCCAGTGACACCTACTTCTGAGGCCTAACTGCAGGGCTACCTCCTGCACGAAACCTCTTGTGAAGGCTTCTCTTCTGTGCCCCTAAAGCATTTCATGTGTCTCTAAAGGTCCTAAAGGTCCTTACGACACACGATACAGGTATCCCCTGCTTTTCCAAAGCCTGCACTGTGCCACTTTGCTTTTCCAGAAGACCTACATTAGTACCTGTTTTCACTAACTGAGAGCCACACAGGATTTTCACTGTCATGAAAAAAGGCAAAAAGCCAAAATCGCATTCAGCACCGGTTTTGCGGCAAGACGAGCCCGTCTGGGGTAGCAGGCACCCGAGAGCAGCGAGGGATGCCCCCCAGCGCCTTCCCCGGGAGCCACACTCAGCGTCTCGGCATCAAGTGGCCAGAGCTCCAAGCTGTGTCTGGGAGCACCTGGGCTTTATCTCCATTTATGTCGTGCATCTGTCCGAAGGTATCAGAAAAGCCAGGACAGGTGACTTTTTGGGGGTCTAGGAACACTCAAAAATTTTTTCATATAAAGTACCAGTAACTGCTTCTTTGCTTTAGGCCATTTTGGCTCACATAAGGTTTCATAAAATGCTCTGGTTTTGGATAGCGGGGAAACCTGGAATCCCAAACCTTCTTGTAGACCTGAACCTTCTTGTCATCTCTGCCAATTAGTTGTTCCGCGACCTGCTTCAAGTGCAGTTTCTTCAGCCATCAAAGCAGTTCACAAATAGCAGGTGCTCAATAAATGGGTTTTTTTTGGGGGGGGGAAGTACACAAAGTCCTTTTCACCCCTACAACTTAACACTCAGCATTATGTGATGTGGTGGGCACTTAATATACGTGCTTCATAAATTAATCCATCTTGGAATAAACATTTGCTTGAAAGGTATCAGGTACTCAAAGACGATGTCACAAATGGCAAATAGGCACATGTAAAAGGTGCTCAATGTCACTGTCTTTTAGGAAAAGCAAATAGAAACTACAATAAGATACCACTACATATCCACTAGAATCAGCAAGATTAAAAGACTGGTATCACCAAATGCTGGCAAGGACGGGGGCGCAGCGTACGGGAATGTTCACGTATTGCTGGTGGGAATGCAAAACAATGCAGCTGGAAAACAGTTTGGCTGGTTGTTCATGAAGTTAAGCATACACTCACCACACACAAAACCTGCAATCCCGCCCCTACATATTTACCCGAGAAACAAAAGCACATGTCCACAAAAAGACACACGCATGAAAGTTCAAAGTTGCTTTACTCATTAACAGCCCCAAACTGGAAACAACCCAAATGTCTACCAACAGACGTTGGAAGAACCACCACCCTGTATCCACACAGTGGAACACACCTGGGCAACAAAGGGGAACATCCACTAACACGCTCAGCCACATCAGTGAACCTCAAAGGCATTATGCTCAGTGAAAAAGTCAGACACGAAAGACAACACTGGGTTGCAGGACTCCTTTTTTATGACATTCTACAAAAGGCAAACTTAAAGGGACAGAAAGCAGATTGGTCCTTGCCGGGTGTTAGGCATGGAGGGAGCCCACTGATGGCAAGGGTCTTCTGGAAACGATGGGAAGGTTCCATGTTAGGACTGCGGTGGTGGTTATGGGACTGTGTGTCTCTCTCACGTTGCGCAGCAGATAAATCTTGCTGTATCTAAATTATGCCTCAGTAATATTAAGATGCCTGGTATCCATTTAACATCTGCCTAATCCAACCCATTCTAGCCCAGATTAGTGCTTCTTATCCTAACACCCTAACGCAGACAAGATCCCTCCCAAAGAAGCTGGCCAAAAGTGGTCTGTGGACAGTCCACCGCTCCTGAGATCCTTTCCAGATTGTCTGTTTCAAGGCTGACTGAGGGGTCTTACACCCCACACAGTGGGTGCCACCAGGCCATTTTACAGGTGAGAAACCCATCCCATGGGCAACTGACCGCCCATGCTAGCACTCAGCCCCACTGGGATCTGCCTTTAAATGGGTGGGCTCCCAGGGGCCTGGGGCTGGGATGCAAGATGAGTAGGCATCGGCTCTGGGAGAAGTTCTGCCCCTAAACATTCCTTCCCTCAAATGGTCAGGGTGGCAAGTGCAGGGGGTGTGAAACACCCAAGGTCATCCCCAGCAGGCTCAGCACCAGAATCCCAGGCTGGATGAGACATCTCTCTTGTCTGCATTGCAAATACAACTGAGCCAGCAAGGGAGGGGGCCAGATTCTCCAAGCTGAACATAATGACTTTTTCTGAGTCTGTGGCAAGCTCCCCACCTCGGCTCAGCACACACACAGGGAGGCTGGCTACTACAAGCAGAAATGACAACTCCCCTGTTCCCACTGTCATCCTCCCAGGTGAGGCTCAAGGCCACAAGGCACCAGGATTTGGACCTAATGCCCACTCCCCCGCCTCACAGGGGGCGGCAGCTCCCCTCACTTGTCCTCCCTCTCCTGCTGCCCCCAGGCAAGGAAAATAGGACTTGGGTGAGTAATTTATTTGAGGCAGGGCTAGGGAACAGGGAAAATGAGCCAGGGAAGGGAAGAAAGCCAATTCTGGGTGCACCAAGGAATACTCCTGTTCCGGCAGGGGCTCCCTCTCCCTGGGGGCCTTAGGAGATGGTTCAGGACATGCCCAATCTCACTGCCTGCACTCTTCTCAGACCCCTACAGGCCTGCCCTCCTGGGCCAGTGCCCTTACCTGGCCAGGGCCCCTGTCACTCCCACTTGGGGCTAGAACAGGAGCATCCCCTCCCCCGCCCCCCGCAGCTCAGGGCCTGGCAGTGGGTACTTGGCAACACTGCTGAGGGGCAGAGCTCAGGGCTGCTGAGGCCCTGTCACAGGCCCGGAAGGCTGCCCCCACGCCTCGGAGGTCAGGGAGCCTCACAGAAGACACGAGAAGACAGAGTCACAGATGTGAGGAAAGACATGGGCACAGCTGGCCGACCACGTGCCTTGCAGACCCTGCAAACGCCTGTGGGGACAGCAAGGTGGGGGCGCTCTGGCCACAGTGGAAGCCAGAAGACAGGAGGCACCTCAGCCCAACCCAAGGAGGCCCATTCTCCCATGGACTACATGCCGCCCCGGCCTCCCACCTGCACAGAGGCCCATCCGCAGGACCAGACTTCCTTCTGCCAATCCTGTCAAACAGGGTATGAACCCCAACCCCCCACACCTTCCCAATCTGCAGCCTGCCCGAGGAGACTCCCTACAACGAAGGGAGGATTCCTGAAACTCGCTTCATCCGGGTAGTGTCTGAGCCGCCGGCTCCCCAAAGCTCTTTCAGGTCCTAGGTCTTCTCAGGCTCAGGTGCCGAGGAGGGATCAGAGGTCACCACACCATCTATAGTGAGGTTAGTGACTGGCCCAGGTCACAGGGCGTGGCAGCTTTGACCTCAGCGCCCGAGCCAGTGAGCCGGGGGGACACATCAGGAGGTTGGGAAGGCCTCCCCAGCCGACCAGTGTAGAAGCTGTTGGACACAGCACTGCAAGAGGGGCCTCCGTGCTCTCCTGTAGCAGCTGATGGCCCCGGAGCCTCCAGAGAAAGCCCTGGGCTCCTCCAAACTCAGACCAGGTAAAGTGAGAGTGACCTTCCAGGAGGATTGCATTTCACAGTACTGGCTTTCTAACTACTTCTAGTTCCTAAAAGCAGTCACTGGGAGCTGGACCTGTGTATCTGACACAATCTGCAGGGACCTCTGTTCACTGATGACTAAGGACAAACTCGAATTACTGCACAGTAGCCTGGCGCGAAAGAAAGCAGCCACACGGACATCTGGGCTTCCAGAGCGGCAAGCTTGGGCCCAGCAGCCGAGCCCCTACCACGCTGCC